CAGCCACTGGCAATGACGCCCCCACCACGGACTGGTGACGACCTACCTCCTATTCGCCGCACCAGATTCGCTTGACAGATTCGTGCCTAGCTAGCGCATTGACTCCTACATTTCGTTTTCGATTCAGGGTTTCCTTTTTACGGCGTCTTCTTTGCTGATAGAAGCGAACAGGCGAGTCCCGGGTAGCAGTTCAGAAGAGAGAGTCGTCAACATGTGCGCAGATTCGATTTCTGCACAGGTGTCTCGACAACAATGTGCTGCCGAAGTGCGTTTCATACAAACCTCCGGTCAACACAGAGCTGGCGAGACGCGCAGTACTGCAGCACGGCCGACGAATGATCCGAGTGCTCCTTCAAGACTGTCACTCACGGATTCGCAAATACCGTCAGAGGATTGACCAAGAGAAAGCAAGGTGCTGCGAGTTCATGGGCGAGGACGGCCTAAAACTGCTTCAGCAGAGGCTGGCCGAACGAACCCGCGAACATAAAGCAACGCGAGAAGCAGCCCTAGAGAGCAACTTTCGTAAGCTGCCTGCTCCAATGTCATCCAAGAACGACAAACTGGTGCACAACTTGTCGTCAAAGGAGCTGACGGAGGAACAAATGCAGGTTTTACGGCATGAGGCCTCATTCAACACAGCCCATGCCAAACCTGCCAACATGATCACAGCAGTGGAATCAATCCTCAGCCAGACGGGAGCGACAGACGAAACGAAAAACCTCATTCGACACCAAGTGTCCTTCCTCCTCATGGCTTATAGGCCGCGCGATGTGCTTTCCAAGGTCGAGCGCGATGCACTTAAGGAACTCAGGGCCGACAACGACCTCGTTATCGTGCCTGCGGACAAGGGGCGTTCAACGGTCGTATTGGACAGGACAGACTACAATCAAAAAGCCAAAAGCTTGTTGGAGGATCGTCAGTCCTATGTCCCATGCGAATCCAACCCCATGAAAACGCTGACATGAAAACGAGATTAATGCGACGCTGTTGGCAATGGAGAACTCGGGTGCAATATCGCCAATCGACCGACGCATGGCGAGAGCACAAGAAACGGCCCTAGCCCGATTCTACGGTCTCCCAAAAGTGCACAAAGAGGGCGCTCCTCTCCGGCCTATCGTATCACTAAAGGGCACTCCAAACTACGGACTGGCAAAGTGACTGTTCCAACGTCTCAAGTTTCTGACCTCCGATTCGAACACCACAGTCAGCTCGTCAACGCAATTCTTGGAGAAACTTAAAGGAGTAAGTCTCCTGCCAAGCGATATCATGGTTTCCTTTGATGTCACGTCCCTTTTTACTTCTATCCCGCAGGACCTGGCAGTCGAGACCATCGAACTACTCCTACGAGAGAAGTACGACGAAACGGAGAATCGCCTCGGACACGCCCAAATCATACAGCTCCTGAAGTTCTGTCTCAAGACGTACTTTACATTCGACGGAACAATCTACGAGCAGGTGAAGGGAACGCCAATGAGTTCGCCAATTTCAGGACTCATAGCCGAGGCGGTCCTTCAACGGCTGGAGTCGCTGGTTTTCCGACACCACAGACCGAAATTCTGGGCTCGGTATGTGGATGACACCTTCGTCGTCATCGAACGGGATCAGGTGCTGACTTTCAAAGAACAACTCAACGCCGTCTTCCCGGACATTCAATTTACGATGGAGAAGGAGGAAAACAATCAGCTGGCCTTCCTGGATGTCCTCGTCTGCCGCAAAGATTGTGGTGGCCTAAAAACCAAAGTGTCCAGGAAAGCGACAAATACGACGCAAATACTGAACTTCAATAGCAACCACCCGATCAGTCACAAACGCAGTTGCGTAAGGGCGCTATACCGGCGTGTTGAGACGCACTGCAGTGAAATGGAAGACAAGGTTGCTGAATTACAATATCTTCGACGGGTAATGAGAGCCAATGGCTACCCGCGCAACTTTGTCAACCAATGCATACGAAAAGGACACCAGAGACCAAATCCAACTAGCCCCAAATTTTGGCGGGCTCTTCCGTACGTGAAGAACGTCTCGGAAGCCGTCAGTCGTCTTCTCACTCCACTTGGAGTTGGGGTTGCACACAGACCGGAAGCAACCATTAGGCGCCAAGTAATTAGGCCAAAAGACCCGCTGCCACGGCAGGAAACGTCTGGAGTCGTTTACCGGATCTGGTGTAGTTGCGGACAAAGCAATTATGTCGCGGAAACTGGGAGATTACTCCGTACGCGACTTGCCGAGCACGCAGCAGCAGTGAGGCGGGGAGACGCTAACTCTCAGGTGGCGGCACACTCGACGGGACCCGGCCATATTTTCAAATTTCAAGAGGCCGAAATCCTCGCAAGGGGTGACAACCGCGTGAGCCGCGAGCTGCTCGAGTCATGGTTCTCAGGCCCGCAATCCATCAACAAACACAATGACCCCCCGGTGCCCTATTCCGTACTGCGATTTTCCCTGGGCAGGAGAATCAGTCACGTGGGGAGGGCGCGGATGAGCAATTATCACGGTGACAGTGAGCCAGTTTGCCGAGCAATCGTCACACCAGCATCGAGCACGGATGACGAAATCGCGGCCATTAACAACTCGGACTCGGACCGCCAAGCCACCGCCGCATCATTTACGACCCCAGCGGCGATTGCGAGAACTGTTAATTGCAGTGCGCATGCGGTCCCACGGCAGCCACGTGTTATAAATACTGCACCCCTGGTGCCACCTTCACCTCTATCTGCGAATGTCTCTGATGATGGATTCGAGTGAGAATCAAAAACGTCAGGCAAATAAACTTCTTGTCCCAGTGATCGCATCTTCATCTTCTGGCGTCTTCTTTTTTGGTCGACAGCCGCGACAACCGCGCTGGCTTACAGGTCGATAACGCACGCAAGGCCAGCCTCTTAGGCTTTAGATCGGACGCCTTTTGTTCGGCTACAATGCGCCACGGCTAACCATACCATCGTTCGGCGCCTCACGGACGTCGGACCATCTGGCCTGTTGCCTGTGTTATATGTCATCATGTACCCTAGACTCTGCCCTTCCCCCCCCCCAAAAAAAAATCAATACAATGACAATCATTCAGGTGGTCATGCGCTCATGCCGGTGCGGATATGCACTCCCGCGAAAGTAATGCACCGCGACTGGCGCTTTCCGGGAACGAACGCTTTGTTCTGACACAAGCAAACAGCCAGCTCACGGCAATTTGTCCTGTGTACAGATTAAATCTGTTTTCACAGGTACTTGACTTCTGACATTGGACAGAACGAAATTAATGTGTGTGGTTACAGTTGATCTTACATTCTTGGCCTCCACAAGGGTTAGGGTTAGGTTAGTGATTAGGGTTTGTTATAGGTTTAGGGATAGGGGTTATATTTGTGTATAGGGTTAGGACTAGGATTAGGATTAGAGTAAGGATTACGGTTAGGGTTTGTGTTACGTTTAGCTTTCAGGTTAGGAAGAGGATTAGGGGTATGCTTAGGATTTGCGTTTGGATAGGTTTTGTGGTTTGGTTTGGGCTATGGTTTGTGTAAGGGCTAGAGCGAGTATTAGGTTTAGGTTAAGGTGTAGGGATAGGATCTTTGTCAGATTTAGTTTTAAGGTTAGGGAAAGGGTTACGTTTAGGGCAAAGAAACGGGTAAGTTTTAGGCATGGCTTTAGGATTAGTGAAATGTTTAGGTTAGGCTTAGGGCCGCCGTTTGGCCTAGGCTCAGGCTTAGTGTTAGGGTGAGGTTTTGTGTAAGTTTTATCTTAAGGGTTACGGTTAAAATTACCTCAGACTAAGAGATAGTTTACGGGTTAAGTATAGCAATAGGGAAAAGTTAAGGCTTATATTTTGCGTTATTTTTAGTACTCGGTTCAGGGTTAGATTAGGTATTAGGTTTCGGCGTTAATTTACGTTTAAGCTGAGACTTCGGTTAGGGGGTTGGTTATGTGGGATTTTGAGTCAGAGTTGGACTTATGGTTAGGTCTATGGTTGAGGGTTGGGATTATACTGACTGCTTGATCAGGTTGAGTTTTAGCGTCAGAGCTAGTATTAACACGAGGGATAGGTTAAGCGTTCGTGTTAGGATAAGGGTTGTAGTGAGGGCTAGAATTAGGCTTGCATTTAGGATCAGGATTGGGATAAGACGTATTGTTTTAAAGTAAGGGCAAGGTGTAGGTGTATGGCTAGGGTCTGTGCTAGAAGTAGCGTTAGGATTAAGGCTAACTTTATTGTTAGGTTAAGGATAGGGATCAGGGTTAGCATTAGCGTTAGGATTGGGTAAAGTAACAGTTAGGTTAAGGGTTACGGTTTTTATTAGGTTTAGGTCTACGATACAGTTTAGGATGGGGCGAGGGTTACGGTTAGGGTTAGGGTCGAGGTAATGTTTTGGGTTGGGCATGAGGTTGTTGTTGTTGTTAGTTTTAGGTTTAGTTTTTTGGGACAGGCTTCAGCTTAGAGTTAGGTTAAGAATTATGTTTAGGGTTTATGAAGCGTTCAGGGATTGCTTTAGGTTTCTATTTAGGGTTAGGGTTGAGGTCAGGCTTAATGTTAGGGTTAACGTTGCGATAAGGGTAAGCAACAATCGTGCATCTATGCAAGCAAAAAGTGAACCGCCAAGTCTGCGACTATCACCGTAACATCTCCTTGCTGAACATCGTCGGGAAGATCTTCGCTCGCATCCTCCTCAATCGTCTGAGAAACCATCTGGAACAGGGCATTCTACCGGAAAGCAAGTGCGGTTTCCGATGTCATCGCGGGACCACGGATATGATCTTCGCCGCCCGTCAACTTCAGGAGAAGCGTCAGGAGATGCGGACCCACCTGTACTCTACCTTCGTGAACCTGACAAAAGCCTTTGACACGGTGAATCGTGAAGGACTGGGGAAGATCATGCAGAAATTCGGCTGTCCGGAGCGATTCACTCAGATGGTGCGTCAGCTGCACGATGATATGATGGCGCGAGTCACGGACAACTGAGGCATTGGCAGTGACCAACGGAGTGAAGCAGGGATGTGTGCTGGCGCCTACCCTCTTCAGTCTTATGTTCTCTGCCATGCTGATGGACGCCTACCGCGATGAACGCACCGGGATCCGCATCGCCTACAGGACGGACGGTCATCTTCCGAATCAACGGCGGATGCACTTCCAGTCGCGCGTATCCACAACCACCGTTCACGACCTTCTCTTCGCCGACGACTGCGCCCCCAACCCCACCTCGGAAGAGGACATGCAAAGAAGCACGGATCTCTTCTCCACCGCCTGCGAGAACTTTCGGCTCGTCATCAACACACAGAAGACGGTGGTCATGCATCAACCGCCACCCAACACAACCCCTCCCCAGCTCCACAATGCGCTGCAAATTTGCGTGAACGGAACCCAACAGCAAGTTGTGGACAACTTCCCGTATCTGGCCAGTACCCTCTCTCGCAGCACCAAAATCTATTACGGTGTCGCCCGCAGGATTTCCAAAGCCAATCAAGCCTTCGGTCGCCTCCAAAGCACAGTTTGGAATCGTCATGGTCTCCAACTGAGCACGAAACTGAAGATGTACAAGGCCGTCATCCTGCCGACGTTGCTGTAGGGAGCGGAGACTTGGACAGTATACACAAAGCAGGCACGTCGACTGAAGCACTTTCACCTCAGCTCTCTCCGTCGCATCCTGAGGCTGAACTGGCAGGATCGAATCCCCGACACTGATGTGCTGGAACGGACGGGAATCCTCAGCCTCAACACCATGCTGAGACAAATGCAGCTGCGCTGGAGCCGCCGCCTGGTGTGCATGCACGACGAGTGACTACCTAAACGACTCTTCTACGGATACGTCGTCATGGGTTCCCGCCGTCAAGGAGGTCAAATTTGCCGATACAAGGATACTCCGAAGTCCTCCCTGAACCCTCTGCAAATTAACCCGACACACTGGGAAAACCTCGCCCGCGACCGACCGACCGACCTGGAGGAGGAAAGTGAAGACATGCGCTGCGATCTATGGGGCCACCGGAATCCCTCGCCTAATTTAAGCCTGACGCCCGCCAATCACAACTTCGCCCAGTACTCAACGCCGATGCACAACCACTTCCAACGTATCCTCGGTGTCACTGGGCATACCGGGCTCGAATCTGACTTTTTGGACAACTGCGCCTCTCAAGCTGCACTAATAGGCGTCCGTCCGCCCGCCTCCCCTCGTCCTCTCCGCCGCCTATTAACTCTGACAATTCTTCTGAACGCTCACTTCCATCACACTCCTCCTCCTCCTTCCCCCCCCCTCGTTCTTCTTCTTCTACTCCTTCTTCACCCCCTCCACCTCCTCCTCCTCCTCCTTCTCCACCACTGCATAAACGACGGCCGATCCGGAGGCCATCTTGCACATCACCCACTCCCATAAAACAACCGACATCACCCTTGTTTCCAACGATGAGGATGAGGACTACTCCTGCCCTCACAGCGACCGCAAATCCATCTCACACATCGGCCTGGTTGGTCACTTGCGAATCCATCGCACAGAGGCTGGCGAACCAGTGCTTTGAGTACCAGCCTACACCCACCGCCCTAGCCTCCACTGCCCACACTGCTCTCGCACCTTCACGCATCGCCTGGGCATTTTCGGCCGCATGCTCATCCACGAGAGCGTGATTGACTGCAGTACATACTCATGCATAATGCCGAACCCCACGCCCACTTTATCATCCTGCGCCCCCACCGCCCTTCCCGCAACTGACACCGACGCCACAGACTTCACCTGCCCACACTGTCCACGCAAATTCACATCTCGCATCGGCCTGGTCGGTCACTTGCGAATCCACCGCCCAGAGACTGTCGAACCTGTTCATGGAGCAGCAACCTATACCCACCAAGCTGGACCCAACTGCCCACATTATCCTCGGACTTTCAGGCATCGCATGGGCCTATTCGGTCACATGCGCATCCACGAGGACCTGCGGTAAACAACCTCCGGCTACACCACACATACACACATTCGCGACCTTCCTACAGCACCACCACCACCATCACCTCACATCAACACTCACACACCGCAAGCACCCAACTGCCACCTCCCACGCCGATGGGAAGTGTGCATCTCGACTTGGGACCCATGCGGCTTCGGCTGCACAGGTGAGTTGCGTCCGAGACTATCCCGACACGTCAACAGTCGTGGATAGGATGGTTGCTGATTGAGGCCACCAATCGGTCCACTCGGGTGTTGAAATCGTAAGGGAGAGTGAGGTGGACGACTCAGCGAACTTCCTCCTCACTATAATCAGTCTGACGCGCTTGAAGCTATCATGGTGCGCTAAAAGCCGTGGCTTGGAATGTTGCCAACTGACGGGGTACCTTGGACCTCCTCCATTACTGGAGGCGGTCTGAGAGTCAGGCTGCAATGGCTCCTTTTTAATGTGGCCTTCATCGCACTCCCATCACAGTGTGGGATCCGAGCCAGGCGTTGGCGGCACGCCTAGGTGCGCCTGCTTCGGCCATGCCAGCCTCCAAATCTGTCTTGTGTTGGTTGAAATCCTGGTTATTGTTGTGTGGACCAGGGGGTGTGGTGGAACGCCAAGGTGAGGATCCGTCCGAGCCATCCACCTGCGGCCTCCCTCGTCTCCGGTCTTCTTGACTCTGTCTTGACACCGGGTCCAG